AATCGGCTTTGCACTCTGAGCTGGAAGCACTGCGGTCGGCAATGGAGAATATGTTTCAACATTCGCCATGTCAGAGCTTTGAGACAGGCTGCAAGGAATTGATAGCGATGCTCAAGAACCCACATGAATGGCCTACTTTCTCAACGGAATTGGAGGGTCTCTTAACGCTGCAGATTTGCTTTCCAAATTTCAAGATATCTTATGTTCCTAGGTCTCAAAATGTTGTGTCTGATTCGTTAGCTAAGACGGCTCGTTCTTTTTATCGTGAACTAATGTTTGTTGGTTATTCTATTCCGGTCTGGATTTCCAGACCACCTCAAGCTTGAGAAATAGATAAGTCTTTTGTTGCCAAAAAAAAAAAAATGTTTACGTGCTAAGAATTTGATACCATGTATCTATTTGGGAAAACAATCATTTCATATCCAATATACCACGATATATTTAATTTCTACTCGACTTATATGATCATACAAAAACATATATTTATTTTTCAAATAAATCAAATAACATATCCATTGTTTATTTTTGTGACTAAATTATACAACAATTCGTTCTAGTTTGCTGACGTGGATGCTATATAAGTTAATTTTTCTGACAAAAATATTATGTATACAATACTTTTTAAAAACATAACAAAATAAAAATAATCGTTTTCTGAATTTTTTTTATATATGTAAATGTTTCTGAAAAAATTGACAACTTATAATTTTTTATTATTTAGTAAAACTAACAAATTTAATTAAATATTTTTTTTAATATTATATAGGAATTATATTTGTTATAATATTTTGATCCTCTCAACTACTCTTATGCTAATTTTGGTTATGTGTTTGTATACAAATTTGTAGCTCGGTTATGTAATCATACAATTGATTTTATGTCCAGAGATTGAAAATTTGTGATATGTTAACCTCACTCTTTAATGTAAACAACATAACCAATATCAATCGAGAGTAACACGACTGCAATACTGGTATGAAAACATTATAACAAATATATCTCTTAAGTTAATATTTGATATTTTTTAACAGTTATGAGTTTTTGATGTGTGATCATATAAAGTTACGTTACTACAAAAAGAATTAAAGAATTTAAAATAATTGTACAACCACAGGATTAATTTCCGAACCATTTTGTTAAACATTTTAGCCATATGAATCGAGTAATAAAATCGATCTATCTACAATCAAATCCTACTCAACTAGTCAAACAGTTAAAATAGTATTGTTGAGGTAAGTTTTAGAGCACATGGGTCTAGATTCGAAAGCCATCGTACGGAAACGTAAGAATTGGTCCCCATAGTAAAAACTACAATAAAGTAGCAAAGGTACGACTAAACTGTCAACTTTCAACTAGTCACGGGGCCAAATGAATCCATGTGTTTGTTTGTTTTTGAAACATACATTAGAAACGAATATATAATTATGAACTGTGCATACAATATTTTCATACAAAATATTTGAGCATTTTCTTACATCTAATGCAATCAATCCTAGGGCATCGGTTATTCGTCTTCAACTCACTATTTAATTCATATCCGCCTTGAAAAGTCAAGTAAGAAACCTACTTGAAGAAGGCTGCCAAGAGGAGAGCAAGCGCCCTATGCGAGTCTCCAGCGTTACAAGATCAAATCAAATATCAAATCTTCTGTAATAAAATATACTCCTTCCGTTTCATTTTAATTGTCATTCTACGTTTTTGCACACAGGCCAAAAAAATATTTAATTTTACATATTTTCAACGAAAAAACACAATTACCTATACACCTAACTACTTTTCAACCAATAGAAAAATAAAATATCATATAAAACTAATAAATTTTGTTTCGAAACTCTAAAAAGACACTTATTTTGAAACGAAATTTTTCCTCCAGAATGACAATTAATTCGAAACGGAGGGAGTAGGTTTTTTTTCCATAGAGTCAAAAACTGCTATTTATCATACTATAATTTGTTGAATGTTTTTGAGGTCTAATAATTTTTTTTTTATTTGTATTTTTGTTGCTTTTTACAAATAATAAATATTGTATCATTATCATATATCACTTCATTTAATTTTAATAAATTTTAAAATTAAATATATATATTTTTAAATAGCTATAAATGTTATTAATATTTTTTTAAATATTTATATGTGTGAAGCAATAAAAATTATATAAAATCACATCATAGATTAGAAAATACAGCTTTTTAAAAAATAAAACATAATTAATAAATTTGTTTATTTAATATATTTATTTATAAGTATACATATCTTATATAAGTAAGAACCTATAGTTATATTGTTTGTTTTCTATTCACAAGGAAATTATTGTTATATTTTGTTAATACTTAATATATTTTTTGATGAGATTTAGTAAATATTATATCTAAAACCACATTTAAATTGTATGCAATATATAATATATACACTAAATAATATATAATATAATAAAATTAATATAAATGTAAAATTTCAAAATAATTGTTAATATCTATACAATAAGATTAAATATTTTCCTATTATAGTAAATATTTTTTAAAATAAGAAACCTAAATAAGAGAACTTTTGTAAATTAATACTTTTATAAATTAATAAAATTTCAAAGTCTTAACAATAGTAATTATTGAGATTCCATTGTATATAGATCAAGAGACCAACCAATGTATTTATCGAAACATGCCTATTTATTTGAATCAAATTTTTGTAATGTTTATCATGCATTGTGGTTGATAAGAAAAAAAAAACAATTATGGTTATAATGAATATAGTATGCATTGTACAAATACTGAATTTTTCTAAATATTGTTTTTTGCTTAAATACCGTTTTAGCATTTAGACTCATCGAATTTGAATGCAATAATTATTTACTGCATAAACCTGGAAACTAGGAAAGTAGAAAGCAAAAGACCAAAAAAATATGTTGTATACAATATTGTCAGTAATCGGCCATTTGTGTATTTTGTTGATCTTTATAAATTATGTGACCTTAAACTTTTAGAAGTGGCACTAAGATAAAACAATTGTAAAAGTTTTCCTTGCAAACGAGTCACACAGAAGACATAACGATATTAGTAAAATCAATAAAGTTTGTAATGTCATATGAACAAATAAAGTAATTGGCCAAATAGATAATCGGGTCAAGCCGACCACTGCTTCTCTATCTCGAATTGTCTTTTAATATGCAATATTTAAGTTGATCAATATTCTATTAAATACATCACTTTCATGATCATACAATCTCACTAATAACACATGAAATTCATATTCCAATAGTCTTTTCGCCAATTTTTTTTTCACAGTCATAATTTTATAAACTTAAAAAACATTCACGAAATTATTAGTTCCCAATGATAACCTATCAAACAAACAACAATAACTATAACAAATAGTTTAACTCAAATAATAAATACATCATATCCCGTTCGTAGGGCGGCCAACCACTAATATCATCATATTTTCTAATATTTGACTCGTTATTTGCCCCGCGACTTACTGTCTATTAAATATTTATTACTTGTTGATAATACTTGTCTTTTCTTTTACTTGCATTTAAGTTTGAGTACAAATATTTGCTACTTATTTTATAATTGTTACTTGCTTTATATCAGTTTTAATTTTTGAAGTATTCGTCATCGTCAAGTCAAATATTAAGTAACAAAATTTAAATATTTGCAAACAAAACATTCATGTTTCTTTATTCATTTTATTTATAATATATAAACATAATTCTTTTAAAGTAATTGTAATTTTACATTTAGTAAAGCAAACAAAACAAATTTTCATATGCATTTTTAATAGAGTAATATTTAATATATAATTTTAAATACTCAAAAATACTCATAAATAATTTACAAGTATCAAATAATATAACGGGATAAATAACTTTCAAATCACTCTTTTTTTCTTACAAGTACTTAAATTAGTAATTACTCGTTTTTAACTAATCAAATATCGATCACATTAAAATTTATATTATTCGTGGAAGGGAAGTCAAGTATCGAGTATACCTAAAATAACGAATACTCGCCTTATGTCTAGTCATAATTAATCTTTCCAGTATTGGAACCATGAAGATTTATCCTACCAAGTATTTTTCAAAAAAAAATGATTTATCCTACCAAGTTGAGATGTCGACGTAATACTGATTGAATTTCCGTCCAATGTTCTATTTTTTTTTCTTGCTATGACCATTTCATAGATCAGGTAACTCGTTTTCAAAACTTGTAACATCTAAAAATCATTTTTCAATGATATTTAGCAAAAAAAAAAAAAAATATAACTGGTAAAATTAGAGATGGACACATACCGAATAATGTCATAATTTTTAGTATTTGTGATTTAATTGATGGATATCTGATTTTCCGATTTGCTTTACTTTAGATATCTGAAAAAATTATAGAAAATTTCAAATATTTATGGATATTTATGGTAATTTCATCCACTTTGTTAAATACAAATAAATCTAGAGAAAACTATACAAGCTTGTTTTCAAAAATATTCTTTACATAACATAAATTAAACAAATGAAAAACTAGTGAAACTATATGTTCCATAATTAAAAACTAGTTACTTTTTTTCTTATAAAATATAAAATCATAGAAAATTGTAATATTGTTGTAGCCGGTTGATACGATACTTGTTCGCGATAGACCAGAAATCTATAATTATTTTCTATTTTTTTTCTTAATGTAATACCTTTATAAATAATTATATAAATGCAATTAGTAGAATTATATTTGAAAATAACAATTATATAAAATTATACATTTAAAACTCTATATGTAATTGTAGATATATATCTATTTGTACAAAATTCGGAGCGGATCAGATAATCCGACTTCTAAATTCGGATCAGATAATCTGACATCTAAATATTTTAGTATTTACGGATATCTAAATTTTGTGGATCGAATTGAAACGAATAGCGAAGAAAATTTAAGTTTTGAAAGTGTATTTTCAGTAAGATAAAACTATAGTGTCATTTTCAAAGTATGATCTCATCTGAAGGTATTTCCCAAATTTTCTCAAAAAAAAGATATCTAATGACTCGTTGACCAAAAAAAGATATCTAATGAGTAATGACTATCACAAAACACTAGCGACGAGAACGAGAGTGGGTTCATGAGCTTCATTTTCTTTTGTGCGAGTCACAAGGAAGAACATAAAAATAATATGGAGATTGATGCTAATGTAGTAATGCTTCTATAGTTCTCTCATCAGAGGATATAAGCATCAACAGAAAAAGAAAAATTCTTACTTAGAAAAAAAGGTCAACTATTGGTGGCAACTTGGTTCATCTAAACTCTTTCGTGTGTAGTTTTCGCAAAGTCATGACCGAGAATTCCAAGCTTTGCGCATTTTCTGTGAAAGATACATTGTTGCATTAATAGCTCCAGCAGCCAAGAAACCAGACACAGCCTGTCTTGCACTTGAAACCATTACCCTTCGCTTCATTATCTTCTCCATACATTTCGCTGCTGCTTCTCTTGAAGCTATACAAACTTCCCCTGAAACTCTACCTATACCAGTTCACCATCAATTATTATCCTTCCATTTCCTTTTACAGGATCCACATATAACTAGAGAGGCAGAGAATCAGAGTTGATACCGGTCTCACTCAAGATTTTCTTTTCCCCAAGTGACTTCCCCATTTGGCTTCTTACTGATGCAGGAAGAGAGGAGACCAGAGAGCGTGATGCTGAAAGGCTAGAGTCCTGTACACAAGTTGGTAAGGATCAGTATCAGAACACTGACTGAGAGAATCTCAAGATTGAGCCAACCATATATATAGCAATGAACTGTGTATACCTGAACTAAATTAGCTTGAGCAGGTGAGAACCTCAACAAGTTTTTGGTCTTGAAGTCTTCAAGAAAAGGCTTATACATTGACTGGAAAAGATCAAACTGCCCCTTCACAATCTTGTTCACCTACAAGGCAAAGGGATTGAACTCATGCATCAGAAAGCTTTTCACCCGAACAAAGTAAAGTAACATTACCATGTTGTGAGAACAATTTACCCAAGAACAGGACTAGGTTCTCTCACCTTATTAGTGTCCTCTGCAAAAAGCATTCGCAAGTCTCCCATGTAAGAAAGGCTGCATATTTTGGCGTATAGATCTTCCTGCGTAACAGTTCTGTGAGTTATATAGTGTACATACTGTCTCCTGAAACTTCAACATTTCTTAGCACTGAACATAAACTCAACCTCTGTGAATTTTGATGGCAAGAGAAGAAGGGCTGCAGATACAGCGGCTCTCTTATTAACAGAATTCACGTCTTCTATGTCCAGATTATCAACAAGCAAATGAACCTGCAACCAAAGGCACTTCCCTATTACATCTGCTAACAGTGAGAAGACCAAGCAACTGACATACCGGTTTTTGTAAACGGCCACTCAAGTAGAATCTGTTCCAGTCGAGTATGTCCTGTACTAGGTCATGCATCCGAACAACCCCATACTTGAGCTTCTGCAAAGAGCTTCACAAGGAATGTAAATCATGCAAGAAAAAATGGGTTCAAATTACATACAATATGGTCAACTTTAGCAAAACATAGACATTTGGAATATAGAAATACACAAGCTTGGATTAGCAAAATGAGATTGTTCATTAGGTTTTAAACAATTCAACATTAGGTTCTGGAAAGTTCTTTCTTACCCTGTCGTTCCAACTGACAAATGGGTTGAAGTGAACTCCAGCCCCTACTTTATCTGCAACTCCAGTAATCTGTTCTAGGAAAGAAAATGGTGTGTGTTCAGGTGTTTACTTAAGCGACGGAAGAGTATGTGAGTAGTGAGAGAAACATACCAGCCTGGCTCCACCAAGGTGAACCATCCATGAAGCATAGTGATTTGAATTCATTTTCAGATTCTTGATCACACAATGACAGACACATATTAGGAGCTGGAAGCTTAAATAGCTTCTAATCTAACAAATCTCTCTTGAGAGACACTGACCTCAGAGTGCCATTGCATGGGATCAGAGACGCCAAGGATGTAGTCCACCATTTTAGACTGCAAAAGCAAAGGTGGGCTAATCAGCAAAGTGATCAGAAACAGGGAATGCTCTCTGAGAGAATATATATTACCTTGTCTTGGTTATTTGGGTGCAACGTGGAACCATAAACACAACAGAAATCCACAGGGGGAAGAACATTCAAGAAGCTAGCAAGCTCATCTCTTTGACTAGTTTCCATTTCCAGTGTATAAGCTTAACCAAACTAAGTCCTGAACAGAGGTGGTAAACAGAAGGTCTGGCCAGGACAGTAAAATTAAACACCATTAGATTATAATCACTAGACCCAAAAGTGAGACTTTTTCGAATATTGCCACACAACCGTTCTACCACTAGTTCATATCAAGATCAAAACTTTCAATTGGGAATGATATAGCGAAGCTGATGTGTGATTAAAGAGACAACCTATGAAAATTAATTAGCTCTAGGAAAAGAGGGAAGAAGACAAAGTGAACAAGGTTTTACCTGCGTGCGACGGCGTAGAGCGCGAGAACGAACAACAACTAACGCCGTTGAAGGCTTTCTTCTTTTCCCGCAATGAAAGTTTTTTCCTTGGGTTGGGCCTTCAAAATTAAAACAATTTAGCTCCACCCTTTGTCGTTTTCTTGTCCTTAAGATTCTAAAAAGACATGAACAAATTTTTATTAAAAAAGTTTGTTTTACATTTACCAAATAGATAAACTAAAAAGAAAAACGAATATAAACCAAATTTTTTTTATTCGTAAAACATGAAGATTTGGGGTTCAAAATATCAGAAAACAAGATTTGTTAACAATTATTTAGTTTAACTAGTAATGTTTATATATAATCTTTATTATGATATGTGTAGAAATGTTCAATAGAGATTTTGATGATATAGTTCAGAGTGATATAAACAAAATAGAAATTGGTAAACGGCGGAAAACCCTAAAGGAGACAACAATGGCGATTCTAGATTGATATTTTCCTTGAAAGATTGATCTTCCCCTAATCAACATGTTCTTTGACGTAAGGATTACACTACAAGAAAATACGAGTTTTGCTAGAATGGCTTTTTTTCGTAATTTTTTAGTAAAAGCCCTTTTACTAGGAAATTACGAGAAAATACATTTTGTCGTAACACGTTCATCGTAAAACTTTTTTCCTCGTAATTTCCTTGTAAATTTACGAGGAAACGTTTCCTCGTAAAAGCGTGGACACATATTTCCTCGTAACGACCTCGTAAGGTTTCCTCGTAAAAGGCACGTAAACTCTCCTCGTAAAAGTCTCGAAACATAATCCTCGTAAACGCGTCGTAATATATTACGAGGAAATTACTTCGATATGTTTTTTTCCGTATTAAAAATTACTAATTAAAACAAATATAAATAATATATTTTTAAAAAATTAAAAATAAATAAAAAAGAAATAACAAAATATATTATAGATAACTAAATATTTAAGTTTTAAATTTATAATACAATAAAAAGAAAAAAAACTAAACTACGGATGGTGCTCGTTAAATTGACGAACGAAGTCGTCATCCCGGCTCCTCCTCGTCCATGTTGGTCGTCGTCGGTTGTGATTGTGACGGTGGAAGCCCTCCGTTTTACCGTCTGACACGCAACATCTTCGTCAATTGCGGGTTTTCAACCGCCAAAACGTCCAGGATATCGGAGAGAGAACTCACTTGAGATTGCGTTGCCTGCAACTCCGAGCGCAGCTGAGTAGTGACATCATGCTGTTCCTGAGCATAAGACGATGTCGCTGTGGGGACATCGTTAACGGAACCAATCCCGACGATACATCCCTTTTTCCTAGGGGCGACCTTTAAATAAGAAGATTAATAAGGTTAAAAAATAAAATAAATAAATAATAAAAATTAATAAGAAAATAAATTATTTACTTCCTCGTAAATCTTATCCACTTCAGGAGTGGATAATATGACGGGTGTCCCGGACTGATGAGTCAACTGGTCTAGCTATGGTCAACCCGAGCAACAACCTCGTTGTAGATTCGCTCGGATCTAGGATCTACAAAATGCCCAGCCTTGTTCCGGTGGGTCCTCTCGTAAAGGTCTTTCGAGTTGGAGGAACTCCTGTCTCTTTAGCCTAAAAATTATTTATAAAATTATTATTTTTTAATTAGGAATATATAAACAGATTAAAAAAAATATTATTTAGTTATTAAAATATTAATTTACCATGTCTAGACGGATTCCCGCGTGAGGTTTTCGATCCCCGGTGTGAAGCATCTTCGTGTTGCCATGCTCGTCTTTTGTCATGTTGTTCTTGGAGTTTGTGTTGGAGGTTCTGATCGAGTTTGGCAACCCCAATATCTGATGAGACCATCCCACACCGCATATGTGAGGCAATCGGGTTTCCCCTCCTCGTAACCATCCACCTGAAAAAAATTAATTTTAAAATGATTTGAAGTCAATGATATAAAACTATATAAAATTTATATATCCACACCTGAAAATCGCCCTTCCAGTTGTAGACCATGTCGAGCAATCGCGCTTTGCACTTCTTTTCAAACTCCGTCTTCACCCGCTGGTGAATCCCTATAGACCAACGATATTTTTGCTATAACCAGAAAATATTAGATTAATTAGTTCAATAATATTAAAATTTATAAATAATTAAAAAATAAATTAAGTTTATTAATTAATGACTTACGGTGAACGATTTGAACCACATCTTTTTGGTGCGGCTGTGCGTCCTTTTCCAGTTTGGAGCTGAATCGGGAAAGTATCCCTTGATACAATCGATGACGCTCTGAGCGACATATTTGTCAACATTAAACCTGAAAAAAAACAAAATAAAAATATTAATTAAATTTATTAATTTTTGGTTAATTAATAAACAAATTAAAAAACTTTTTTAAAAGATGAAACATACCAAAATATGTTGCGGCCGTCCCGTCGGAGAGGATCTAACTCACGTAACCCTTCTCTGCCTGGCGCTGCCATAATTAGCCTGTGTTTCTCTGCACACAAGTGGTGATTTTGGTCACTCGATCCAACCATAGCTTCTCCCTCTCGAGCAACCATCGTTTCTTCCGTATCTCCCACGCAAGCATCGTTGTTGGTGAAGATGGTGTAATCCTACTATCTTTGACTACCTGCATCGCTTGGTACATCCTTTGATGTGTTGAGTATCGTTGGATCTGCTTCTGGAATCTGCTTATACGTTCCTTCATCCTCGATCGACCTTGATACAACATGATCGAGCACTTATGGGATCGTATTCCCGTGATAAGTCTGTTCTTATGGCAGATAATAAAGGCATGGGGATCCTTTATGAGGATGATGATGCCCGATAAAGTTGTACGAAAAAATGATTCTCATGTTATCAAAGAGTATCATATGTCTCTAATTGGCAAAATCCTAAACCCGAAGAAACAAAACGTTAAAAAGCTAACACAAACAATGCCGGCACAGTGGGGATTGGAGGACCGTATTACGGCTAATGATCTTGGGAACGGAAAGTTCCTATTCAACTTTAGTTCTGAAGAGGACCTCAACTCGGTGCCTCAGAAAGGCCCCTTCCACTCAACTTCTGTATGTTTGTATTGGTGAGATGGGAACCGACTGTTCATGATGATTATCCATGGGTTATTCCATTCTGGGTTCAGGTCTCTGGAATACCTCTACACCTGTGGACGGTAAAGAACTTACAGAACATTGGAAATTGTTTGGGTTATGTGGACACTATAGAACTGGCGGAGGGCCGGATGTTGATTCATGTGGATTCAAGAAGACCACTAAAGTTTAAGAGGAAGATCAAATATGAAGGGGAAGAGGTAATAATTGATATCAAATACGACAAGCTCTTCAAGAATTGCACAATCTGTGGACTAATGTCCCATGAAATCTGCTCCTTCTCAAGAGCATGGCGGCGTCTTTGCGCGTGTCCAAATGGCTGACCTGAAACATGGTCATCAGTCTTCGCAGAAGGATTACCACAATGAAACAAATAGCTCTTCGGGTAAGGAGGTTGATCTAGACGGAAGGTTTGAAAGGTACTCTCATCGGAGTAAAGATGTAATGTCTCGTCTCTCAGATGGTCCCCAAAATAGGGAGTACAAGGGAGGCTATCAAGGAAGGAACACTGCTGCGCTTTGCATTGAACATAGGAAAAGGCACGGAAACAATGAGGAAATAGTTACAAGAAGATATGGGGATATGAGACATGATAAGCGTTTTGGGGGTTCTCGTTATGGTCCATATGAACGCAAGGAAACACTATCTTGTCGTGAGAAACAGAGAGCAAAGTCAAGTGTGGAGAAGCAAAGTGAGCATGGTAGGAGGGAGTTCTCGGAGACTCATGCTGTTGTTCCATTTGAGCAACAACCAGTAAAGGATAAAAATCCTATGGAGTATGATGATCATTATATTCAGAATAGGGAGGAGACGAGGAGTGATGAGAAGCGGCAGGGAAAAATAATTGCTAGTACCATTGTATTGCCGTCTCCGCAAGTGCAGTTAGATAGCAATGTCATGATCCGGAGCAAGAGTGTTGCTCGGTCTCTTACTTTCACTATGGAGGAGCCAATAAATGATATGGGAAGTGAGCAAAGAATTGGCGCGCTGAATGATATGGAGCTGCTGGAGGAGAATACCAGGGACATGATGCTGATTGATGAACAAGAAGATGACTTGTTTGATGAGGAACTAATGGATCTAGCTAACGAGGCGAAATCAGATGGAGCAGCTGAATCTTCATATATTAAGGCGATCTCCATGAATCATAAAACCTCAAGGAATGGTAATAAAATGAAAATCCCTTTGGGTATTCAAACAAAAAAGAGTGAGTTCCGTCGCAAAGGTTCTCCACATTTGAGCTCAGTTAAATCCTCTTCTAAGTCGAATGGGAACAAAGAGAAGTCGAGGCGTCAAAGTCAAGGTACTAACAAGGAACATGAGAGTACAACCAGGGATGAGGGTTTCATGGGATCCAAAAACCCATCCAGCTTCATTCATGAGGACAATCAGTTTGAACTGTCGAGGGATTGGGAGCGACCATACAGAGGTGTGTTAGAAGCATCGCCCATGACTTGTGTTCCTTACGGAAACGAAGAATAGGAGGCTGCTGTTGCAAGACATTCATGCCGACTTAGGATTTGATCGTTTGTTTACTGTTGAGTCACTTGGACTCAGAAGAGGTTTAGCTTTATTTTTTATGGATGAATTTCAAGTCAATGTTTTATTTTTGAATAGTAGAATGCTTGACATTGAGGCAGTCATTGATGGAATAAAAGTCTATATGATGTTTTCTTATGGGGATCCTATACTAGAACGAAGAAATTTAGTCTGGGAACGTCTGACACGTTTCTCAACAACAAGAAATGGACCCTGGTTTATGATAGGTGACTTTAATGAAATTACTTGTCATGAAAAGAAGGAAGGAGGCAGACAACGCCCATACAGCTCATTCTTACCTTTCAGGCAAATGCTGAGTGATTGTGGTATGCTGGATTTTCCTTTTACATGGAACATGTTATCTTGGGTAGGAAAAAGAGTAGGAAGAGTTATGGCTCGCTGCTGCCTTGACAGAGCACTTAG